TCTCTCTCTCTCTCTCTCTCTCTTTCTCTCTCTCTTTCTATCTATGTATCTATCTCTCGTACACGCACTTGATGCATAGAGTAAGTACACCGTACAAGTATTTTCACTTTCTGCACCTCTACCTGCGTAAACCCGACGATGGACGCAAGTTACTTCCATTATCGTGGCGGGACACTGACTTCGGCCGTCGTCAATCGACACTGCACTCGCATCGATGTGTGCCACCGTCGTTAGAACGACGAAAGTGCCACAGACCGTTAGAAATAAATGGACTTTAGAGAAAGTTGCTGAAGTAAGAACTGCGCGAGACCGTGAAGAAAACTCAAATCGCAAGTACATCTAAAGGACGCTCACGTCGAGTGAGGAGTATGTCCTTTAAACATTCTCGCAAGATATTTCTTTGATATCCTTTTCGATATTTCTATCGCGCGGCCAAACAACACAGAACTATACGTAAGACGCGTAAGAGGCATCTGCGAGATGTCTTTCGAATACCTTTCAAACGGCTTTCAGATACACATGTTCTTTTCTTTGTTGCTGATAATATGGTGCATGTTTGTTCTTCCTCATGCATGCGTGTGTGCTTCTCCTTTTTAGCTCGATTATTTGCCTCGATTAAAGCTACCGAACAACAAATCGCTTGTCTGGCTTGTCTATATTGTTTCTTCTCAACTTTCGCCTCTAGTGTGAGTTGCGAGAGTCGATCCCGTGACAGGTCCATCCGGGCGGCACCGAGCCGCCATCGTATGACTACGAGTGTGTTATCGTGGAGTATATGTGTGTATATATATGTGTGCGAGTGTATGCAAGAAAGTGTATATGAGTGTACATATACGTGTAAATATGTGTGTGAATTATGTATGTGTATGTTTTTATTCGCGCGAGGAGGCTCAAATTCTCGCCACGTCGGGAGAATGCTACGTGTATACTACTAGCCACGCTGTTTGTCGAAAATAGATCAATGGAGGACTCTCCTCCGACGAGTTGTACAGCGGCTGAGAAAGAGAGAGAAAGGAAAAAGAGTTAAAAGAAGGAAGTTTAATCGAGGTACGGCATGACTACAGAGGTAGATTCGTGAGTGCAGTCGGCACTGTTGCTGGGAAAATTTAACGTCACGAAGAGAGGTCGTGAATGAAGAGCGCATTTTAAAAGTTGCATCACTTCCCAGCGCATCGTAATTCACGCTTAACAAAAAGAGCCCCGTGCATTAGAGAATATAAATATTCTCGCGCGGTGTCCGAATTCTTGAACTTCCTCGCGCGTGCCAGAAACGCGCGAACGGTCGTGCAAACGAATGAAAGATTATTAAGGATGAACTATTGGAAAAGCAAAAAAAGGTGCGAATCGTGGAGAATGAAGCGCGGGGATCAAGATCCGGAGGCGCGATTACGACCCGAGCTGAGTTAAAAGAATCCGAGAGAATAATCTTTCATTCCCGACTCGAGAGAAAGAGAGAGAGAGAGTGAGTGAGTGAGTGAGTGAGAAAGAGAGAAAGAGAGAGCAATTGTATAACAGCGCCGATCCATATCATTTCCGTGACTAATCGCCTTCTTTTTGTATTCTTTCTCCGGGGGATTTTCGGGAATACCTCGATTCAGGATCATACTTCAATTGCATCATGTTCATGGTGGCGAGCAGCGTTGTGTTGACCGTTCTAGTGCTCAACTATCATCACAGATCGCCCGACAGATACGTGATGCCAAACTGGGTAAGGAATACATCAACTTAAATATTATTATCCCAGTTAAAACTATAATTGACCCTCCGCGTACACAACGTCGGGTCTATGAGACCCGAACAAATATTCGATTGCTCACCAACTTTCGTAAAGGATTCGGCGTAATCTCAAAATAGAACAATCTATTAAGATTGAGAGATCTTAATTTTATTATACTATCTTATAGATAACTGAAGTTTCTCTATATCTATGAGAGAAAATGTGCCCAAAGATACTAATTTCTAACAAATTTATAATAGTTTAATGTTGCCCGAGTTTGACGGACCTAAATTGTTCTGCATGCCCCAAAACATATAATCGTACGTGGAGGGTTGATAATACAGGGTGCCTCAGAACAATCTTCGAATCTCTCGTGGAAGCACAAATGAACATAAAATATTATACTATTTTGTGATATTCGCGATTATCGAGATATTAATTAAAACAAATTTGTGAATGATCACGCGAGAGGTAAATGAGCTGTAATTGTGACATCTGCTGTCGTGTGCTTGTACATTAAGAACAAATTGAACAAGAAAATCTTCTACCTTTCTCCTAATAATTTTGTAAATTTTTAATTATTAATTAGATAACATTAATATATTATCGCGAGCGACCGTTCGCCAATCTTCTTTAACTAATAATTCTTCTTTAATTAATAGTGGCAGATGTCGCCACTATCTACCATATCTCTATGATCATTCACAATTCTTCTTTAATTAATATCTCGATAATTATTGCGAATATCACAAAACGGTATAAAACTTTCATGTTCATCTCAATCCATACTATGCTTCTACGAGAACTTCGAAGGTTGTTGTAAGACACTTTGTATACAGAGTATCCGACGATAAGTGGGGGAAACGCTCGTGTACATGTAGATTAAGTCAAATTGAACACAAAATCTCCCTGTCATTTTACAAACAACCACGTAAAATTTAATTAGAGGAGATTAGTGAATAATCGCACGCGCTATGCAGTGTAGAGTGTGACGGCAAGTGCAATTTCCGTTGCGGGCTTATACATTAGGTCGGACTGAACAGAAAAGCCCTCCACCATTCCTATTTAAATATAACCACGTAGATATTTAAGTTACTAATTAGAGAAGACCGGTGAACAATCGCGCGTAATTGTTCGCCAAACTACTTTAATTAACCCTAGAACTCTAAACATAGGTAACATTTAGCCAGATCAACTTTTCATACGTTATCGTTCATAAAACCTGTGCCATTAATGTATGCTTTTTCATTATTAATAAAAGCGCTAATGGCGTTAATAAATATAATAATTATTACAATATAATAATTATTACAACATAATAATTATTACATATAAATTATAACATTCTTTAATTTTATTGGATCGCAATAACATAATAGATTCATATAGATTCCTTGATATTTTCTACACCAATTAAAAAGAGAGAGGATCGAATTTCGATAATTTCTCTGGAAGTTATAAGCAAACGAAAATGCGCCAGGTAATGTTCAGAATTTACGCGATTTTTCGGTGTTTAGAATTCTAGGATTCATAACTCAAAAATCCAGTGGTCATTCGCAAAATAGAGAACTTTCCTGATCAGTTTGACCTACAAACATGCGACGGCAGACACCGCTATCACAATTCGTTTAGCGTATCGCGCGCGATTATTTGCCAATTTTCTTTAATTTATGACTGAAAATTTTACGTAGTTGTTTGCAGAATGGTAGAGAAGTTTTATATTTTTTTATTGCATTCAGTTTGATCTAACCTACATGCACATTTTCCCACTCTACATACATATAGATATGTAGCTGTAAAAAAGTACATATAGATATATATATATATATATATATATATATATATATATATATATATATATATATGTAGCTGTAAAAAAGTACGCGCGCGCGTGTACAAGTGTGGCAATAAATCTCCTTTTATTAATGACACAATATTAAAATAAACAAGAGCAATTTGTAACCAAGTAATCTCAAATACAAATAACGCTAATAACTCCATAAGCTCCATTAATAAGTAAACACGAGTGCTAATGGCGCGTTGATAAATATAATAATTATCACAATCATATAAATTGCTCATGTTTTATTCGTAACATTATGCGCGCGCGTGTCTCTTGCTTCATTTTTTATCAGCGCTACTCTTGCCACGTGGCGTGGCTGATTGCACATAATTTCTCGAGAAAATTAATTCAAAGGTGCGCGCGTTCTCGGATATTTTTTTATTTCCGCAGTGGAATATTTCAATTTGCTCTCGTGGGCCGCGATGGGACGTGGTAAAGCATTTCAGTCGAATAAAGGCTAACCATTTTAGATACACAGGGAAATAAGCCGCTTAACTAAACGGATTAGCCCAGATTGCACTTGCTTTCGTCACTGTTATATTATACTGGTAACATTATACAAATTTAATTGCTTTTCATTATGCCTAATAATTGAGCGGGCAACGCTTTTGAGAATAGTGCAATGTAATTTATAATCACGATAATAAAATGCGGTCGTAAGTATTTCAGATCTAATTTCGAACATTATTGTTATCTATGAAATATATCGAGATAATTATAATGAAATATCGTGCAAACACGATATCGATTGGTTTTGGTATCGCGGGTGTAAATGATGGGAAATCATGCCACGAGGAGCAAGAGAGAAAAAAGGGAACGAGCTTATTTGCAAATTCCAAGTGATGCAAAACGATTTCCCAAAGAACACTCCGGTTAACAGTTAGGAATATATTTTGCACGGTGAGCTTCCTCACCTTCAGGCGTTTACCATTACGACCGTTAAAGACACACGCTGCGCTTCTTGAAACTTTAAAATGCCTCCGAGGTGTTGGTACTAGCTCTTGCGACTCGTCGGTTAGCGCGAGTTTCGTCAACAAACCAAAAGTATACTCGGGCAAGTACGCTTCTACGCTACGACACATTTGCAGTTTATGCTTGCGCACTGCGCGCAAGCACCAGTGCTTCGCATTGAATTTTCAGCTTGACGAATAACTCCCTTTCTCTCTCCCTCTGGCTGAAAATTCAAATTGTTCAAATTATTTCCTAGTCGTCTCGAGATGCACGTAACTTAACTTCTTAAGTGATATGCCCGGAAGAGTTGATAAAATAATAATTATTATCGATTGTTGCTTCTAACTTACTTAAATTATTGTATTTTCTCTAACTCATGTATTAAATATATAAATTATATATATTCTGTATTCCATTTTTTAAAATTCCCTAAAGATAGTAACACACACACACAAGAGAAAAAGAGAAAAGAAATCTAAATATACTTATTAAAAAAAATTCGCATTATATGAACTGTTGTATTTTTTTAACTTAATGCAAATTAGATATATTTTGTATTCTATTGTTTAAAAATTCTTGACAGAAGATAGCAACAAAGAGAAAAAAATCTAGATGTGTTTATTTAAAAAAAAATTTTTTTTAATTAGATCTGAAATGGTTTGTGCAGTTATTTAAAATAATAATATTTTGTATTGGTCACAAATAAGAAATTAAATAAATTGTGACACAAGACTACTGTGCATATAATGTGCATATAATGTAACAAAAATCACTGAAGAGATTAAGCGACGTTCGAAATCCCTCGAAAAGACTTGCAACACGACTATCTCAAATTCTTTCCCCCCGAATGGTTTCGTATTGCCTCCGTGAAATTCCGAAAAATAAGGAGGAAATTTCATTGGGGAAAGTTGCCGGATCGCAATAATAAAGCTTAAAGGTTTCGATGTTTCACGCAGGTCAAAGTCGTGTTCCTGCAATGGCTGCCGTGCGTGTTGCGCATGAGTCGGCCGGGCAAGAAGATCACGAAGAAGACCATTCTCATGAGCAATCGAATGAAGGAGCTGGAGCTGCAGGAGAGGAGCAGTAAGAGTTTACTGGCGAACGTCTTAGACATCGACGACGATTTTCGCCATGGGAACAGCGCCGCCAATCCCGCCTCGGGCTATAATATAAGGTACCGCCGTGCTCCCCAGAGCTCTCAATCTACCCGCGCGCCTCTGTCCCCGGCGAGAATTCCTGGCCGTGTGAAAGAAGCTTAACGTTGATTTCCCTAGCTCGCCCGGCCCTATTTTCGCTAACAAAGCCGCCTGATTTGCGCTTTTTTTTTGTCCTTTCCGCGCAGCGGCCGCGTGACACGCGCGAAAAGCGCAAAAATCGCGTCACGTTTTAATCTCATTGCGAACGCAAAAAAGGAAGGTAAAGCGAACAACGGCGTGCAGTGTCGCGGCGACGCGCGCGGGCGCATATAATAATCTATTATGAGTGATCGGATGAGCGCGCGGCAACGGGGCTAGGCGGACACCACACCGCGCATCACACAGAGAACGAGCAGAGAGACGCGCGCGCTACACGTGTATATCCGAGTGAATGCACACGGTTACGTAATTCAACCTCGCGCGCTTCGCCGGCGCCTCGCACTGTTTTACACGTACCGACCTGCACCGTGGAAAATCAAAGACACGGCTGCAGACCGATTACCAGAACTGCGACAGGGCCGTACAATGTTGTTTGCTCTGCAATAACTACGAGCGAGATGGAGGGGCGCGAGAGGGGGCGACGAGGGGAAGGAGAACGAGCGCGCGAACGGACATATCCGCGGAATCTGTCGGGTGTCGCTTTAAAACGACGGCCGCGAGACGGTTGTGCATCACCGGGAATGGAATATCGAGATTTTTCGCGAAAACCTCTCGATAAATACCGATTGGCGACTCAATCTACCGGACCTCTTTCTCTCTCTCTCTCTCTCTCTCTCTCTCTCTCTCTCTCTCTCTCTCTCTCT